GATTACAAGGTGGTTCTTTGGGAGGGCGGTAATGTTATGCCTTTGCTGGCTGAACTGGCACAGCAGGTTTAGCAATTCTACAGGAGGCTGCAGTAGTCCACCTCCTTCATCCCTTTTCCACCTATTAGGTGGGTCCTCTCCATCAAATAGTTTTAAAAAGGGAAAAGGGTGGGGCGGCTTAAGCTTTGGATGGGAAAATTAATTAGGAAATATTTTTTTATTAAAGTGCATGAGAGAATTATGGGGTTTTCATGTTTTGATTGATTGTGAATTAGAGTTTCTTGGAGCTTGGGCTCTACACTCTCTCATCTAGAGATTTGGGAGAGACGATCCTCCTCTCGAATTGGGGATCACTTATAACTTGCTCCGTGTGTGTTTTGCTTTGTTTTGATTTTTGCAACCTATCATTTTGGGGCTGATTTCGCACAGATTTTACTATATTCTCCTATTTTCTTCCAATTAGTAAGAAGTTTGCTTGCAAACTCAAGTATTCCCTTAGGGTTACTTGTGAACAAAATTATTTCCTATCAAAAGCACACATTTTAAATTAGTAGAGTTACTTTATAGCACAACATTTATTTTGAAGAGGTCACTTACATTTTTTAAATTTTGACAACTTAGTGATGTTGAGTCCCTTTATGTTTTAAGAGCTTAGAGTATTAACATAGAGAAAAATCATACAGAAAATCAAATTTAACTATGATCTTTAGCCAATGGAAGAATTGTTATATCAACACAAACTAATCAAGGGAAACAAATGTAGATGTAGATTTATACATTATCAAGTAAAGTTTTAAGTTGAATAGAATTAATTTCAAAAGATACACCCTTAAATTGAATTAAATCAATTTCAATGTAAAAATCGATTAAATTTCAAATAATTATGGAGTTCAAACCTTCAAAAATAATTATCGGATGTAAAACTAAGTAAATGAGAAGCTTTGGGCAAGGATGTATGAAGGATTGACTAGTTACCATATTGGAGTGAAAAGTTTTCATAAATAAGAGATGAGTCTAGTTAAGTTAAAAGAACTATAACTCAGCATAATTTAAATTGAAAACAAAAACTACTCAATCTTTCAAATGGCTTTTATGGATGCTAAGGAATATGATAAATTTGACATGAAGGCAAAACGATGATATATCCCATAAAATGGCACGAGTACTTCACCACTACCACCAACATTAATAACAACCCTTTAACCCACTACGTGGGGTTAGCTACATGAATCATTTTTCTTCATTGAGTCCTGTTGGATGTCATATTCTCATTTAAATCTAATAAAGAAATGTCATTTTAATATTTTCTAACCAATTTTAGGTCTACCACAGTCTTTCTTAACATAAGCCAAATCTAATACATCTACTCGCCTAACCAAGTCATCGGAAGGCCTCCATTTTATATGACCAAACCATCTAAAGTGAGCCTCTCTAATCTTATCATCACTAGAGCTACTCCAACCTTTTCATGTATATGCTCGTTTTGTATCTTGTCTCTATGAAAAGGACTTAAGAAAACAAAAAAAGAAAAGCACATTAAAAAAATATGAGGATTTTAGTTAACTTTGTCGTATCCAAGATTAGAAATCAAGTATAACTAAATATATTATTTTTATGTTGGCGACAAAGGAAATAAAATAGGTACCTGATGGGTTTAAAATGATGGCGACCATCTCCTCTAATACGAAGGGGTCCTTCAGGGTTTTATTCATAAAACTTCATTTTGTTGTGTTGACCTCATTTTTGTATGAGGTCACTTGGACCAATCTTGCCCCTAAATAAATTCAATTCTCAAATCAATTCAAACTCTAGGATCTTCCTAGAATCCTGACATTAGGATATATCCTAGGATCCTTCTAGACTTTAGACCTTAGGATCTACTCTAGACCTTAAGGCCTTTCTAGAAGTCAAACTTTAGGATCTACCTAGATCATAAATCAAACTAGACATTTAATCAATCAGATCCAAAACCCAATCCAAATCCAGAATCCAAACCAAAATCCAAGGCCAAAGGTCCAAGTCCTGAAAGCCTTTTCCATAGATTTTTCAAATACTTCAAAACCCAGTCAAATGACCTTCGATTCAGATTCTGTAAGTTGCATACTGATGGGACATGTCTCTGAAGGAAACACTCCAAATTTGGTCCCATTCTGAGGTTTCTAACCTAAAAAATTAAATCAAAATCTAAATGCTGTAAAACCTTCAAATATTTACAGCCTATGCCACTGGACCTGTCACATTGAAGTTTATGACCTTAGAGCCTTCACCAAAGCCTCTAGTCACTTTTAGACCATTAATCCTGATATGTTGATCAATAAACTGAATCTTTATGGACTCATCTCAGCCCCCAGTGGGCATGAGCCCAAAATGACCAAAATACCCCTATGCCTTAAATCATTTCCATTAAATGATTCAAAACATACTCAATTTATTTAAAGTCACATCATAGTCAATTTGACAAAGTCATACACTTGAAAATCTTGGTCAAATTAGCATGATTAGGCTTTAATCACTCAAGCCCCTAGTAGGTTGCCTTAGGATCTTTATAACCAGCCATTTGACCACCTAGGCGCCACTTCAACAGTCTTATTGACTGTTTGACTGGTCAAACAGTCAAACTAATCCTTTAAATGGGTCAAACTTGGCCAAAGCATAACTTAAACTTAACCCATTCCACTTAGGACCTAACCAACATCCCTAAGGACCTCTAGAACCTTCCTAGAGCCTTTCCTGGCCTTTGGATCCAGATCCTACAGCTCTAAAATAAACCCAAGTGGACTATGGGTCAAAAGAGGCTTTCCACCTCACATGTCCTTGTGTCCTTTGATCCACCAGCTTTCCAACCACTCTCAGGACACTTGACAGCCATCAAGGAGGCCAAAAAATTGATCCCAACCATCCAAACTACTTGGAAACATTTTGAGTAGGGCAAAACGCCCTAAGGAGCTTGGATTCGAACATGCACACTCTCTCTCCACTCAAGCCATCCCAGACCCAGAACTCATCTCCCTCAACCTCCAGACATCTCCCACCGTCGTTCCCGACCAGAACCTTCCGGCCAAACCTTGCCGGCAATCAAATTCCGGCGAACTCAATCTCAAACCGGTCCAAGCCTTTACCAGCTCGATCCGTAGCCTCTCAAGCCTCGAGTTCAACAGGACAAATAAATGTGGACAATCTACAAATTCAGAGAATCCAAAAATGTGTTAAACCGTCCATTATATTGGGTAAACTCCTAAATTTTAGCTTAACACACTTAGGCTAATTTAGCATATTATTAAGAGCTTTTTACGCCATTAAAATGTGTTCATACATTCTATTTAGATTTAAAATTTCACTAGATTTTTTTATCTGGCTTAAGAGAATAAGACATTTCCTTATATTAGGGTTTTTGTTCGATAGTGCATGAACTTAACATTAAACAGGCCGTTGATTTCGAGATCAACGGCCCAGATCGCACTAATCAGCGGTCTGTCATAGTGGCGCGGTTCGCTCGATCGAACAAACCCCCGTCTGGCTTAATCAAGTCCATTCATTCAGAACCGGGGGGGGGGGGGGGATCTGACCGTCCGATCTTTCAAAGAGCGGGATCAGCCTCGGGCTCGATCACAGCTGTCGGATCAAGCCGCGGTTGATCTGACGGTCGCTAGCTTTTGCTGACTCATTTAAGTGGACTGGCCCACCTGACCGCCATCTTCTACCTGGCTTAATCACGCGCCGCCACGTGTAAATTCAGGATTAAGGCTTTATTTTAATTATATTTAATTGCATAACCTTTAAAAAATCATAATAAATAAAATACAAGTCCAAAAAATCCTTATTATATATCAAACTGCTCTGTTTTTCAGAGCCTTTAATTTAAAAATAAAATTGCCTTAAAATATTTTGTATATTTTAAGTAATTTAAAATATAAACTATTAGATTATTTTAATTTTTATTTAATTAAAATAAATCCAAATATTTCTAAATTTTAAGGGAAATTTATTTCAAAGTATTTTGAACTTTGTGCACCCACCACTTAGATTTAGGTTCTCCTAGATTTAGGATTTGTTTGGTGTGATTACATGCTATGTATGTTAGTTCAAAGGGTTAGTGAGAATAATTGATTCAAACCTATAACTTAGTGACATTTAGGACAATAATTAAGGATTTATTTATAGAAAACTTAAAATATTCCCAATAATTAGGATATACATCCTTTTAACTCAAAACTTTGAATACTTGAACTTAGTGACATATCCAACCCATAGAAATGTTTTCACTGATTTTTGAGGTCATTAAGCCCCTTAACCAATTTTCTTAAGATCAAGCCTTAATTAAGCCCTAAACCTTCCAGAAAATATAATAAATCCATTTTAAACCTAAAAATTATGTGTAACCCCTCTAACTGACCAGTTTTGAATCCTCAACCAATGAAAAATAAAACAAAAATTATTTGACAACAAACTTAGGCTTAAGTTAATTTTAAGAGAAATTGAATATTTAATTAATATAATTAATTAATAATTATTAAAAATTCCAAAAATTTCCCAAACACTTGGGAATCTCTCCTTAGGTCATTCCTGATCTTTGGAGCTGATTTCAAGGAGTTTGGATCTCATTTGGAGCAAAATCACAAAAAAGGCCCTTTAATTTTGAAAATTCTAATAAATACATAAACTTCAAACCCTCATAACTAATTCAAGAAAAATCCAAATTGAACAAACTCACTTGCATTCAACTCATGTGTCTAATATTTATTAAAAATATTAAAATTCTAGAAAATCATTAAGATCAAAAAGTCAACAATTCGGTCAACTTTGAGTCAAAATTAGACCAGAACTTCAAACCTTCGTAATAAAATGTAGAAAAATCCAATTTCAACGTACTTACTGTCTAACTTATCGTAGTGAGGTCTATTGTTTTAATAAAATACAAACATTTCAGAAAACATCTTTAATCAAAAAGTCAATTTCTAACCCCTTAATTAAAGGATTAAAATATTCAAAAATTCATAAAACTCAAAATTGTTTTAAAAACTCCAGAAATGATTAATCAACCTTAAAATCAGTAATCAACCAACTTAAATTAA